TTATGGACAGGATATGCTTTTTGCGCACACAGGGGTACCACTATAAGCACCCTTGCCTTGGCTTAGGCATAAAGATGATACTATTGAATATAATATGATCTCACCAGACAGAATAGAAATAAACCAAATAATAATCTAAAAGAAAAATTATAGACTTCATCATATAGTTACCATTTCATACTTGTTTTTTGTGTCACTTACATATATTTAAGAACTACACAATACATTGAGCAGTATATAACTAAAATTCAAAAGCTACAGTTGAATAAAAATTTGTACATTGTTAAATATTTCAGAAAACCCACACACATGTATGTAAGAAAACTGAACAATTCTATAAACAAGAGGGCCATGATGGCCCTGAGGTCGCTCACCTGTATATAGGCCCCCCCCCCACCCCCAGGCCAATTTTTACCCAAGGGCTTTTATTTGTTTATTTGAACAGACTTGGTAGACACCCATAAGAAGATGTTTCATGCTAAACATCTAAGTTCTAGCTCATTGGGTTTTTTAAAAGAAGATTTTTAAAGTTTTTACTATACACATATAGTTAAAAACAATGACACCCCTGGGGCAGGGCCAGTTTTGACCCCCGGGCGTTTATTTTAACAAACTTTGTAGATATTTATTTAAAGATGTTTCATGCTTAATATCTAAACTCTAGCTATTTGGGTTTTTCTAAAGAAGATTTTTAAGTTTTTGCAATACACATATAAGGAAAATTCAATGACCCCCCCCCCGGGCCAGTTTTGACCCTAGGGCTTTTATTTGAACATACTTGGTAGACACCCATTAGAACATGTTTCATGCTAAATATCTTAGCTCTAGCTCTTTGAGTTCTTTAAAAGAAGATTTTTTAAGTTTTTACTATATGCATATAGGGAAAATCAATGACCCCTGGGGCGGGGCCAATTTTGACCCCAGGGCTTTTATTTGAACAAACTTGGTAGACACTCATTAGAAAATGTTTCATGCTAAATATCTTAGCTCTAGCTCTTTGGGTTCTTTAAAAGAAGATTTTTAAGTTTTTACTATATGCATATAGGGAAAATCTATGACCCCCTGGGGCGGGGTCAATTTTGACCCCAGGGCCTTTATTTGAACAAACTTGGTAGACATTCACTAGAAGATGTTTCATGCAAAATATCTAAGCTCTAGCTCTTTGGGTTCTTTAAAAGAAGATTTTTTAAGTTTTTACTATATGCATATAGGGAAAATCAATGACCCCCCCCGGCCAGTTTTGATCCCAGGGCTTTTATTTGAACAAACTTGGTAGACATTCACTAGAAGATGTATGTTTCATGCCAAGTATCTAAGCTCTAGCTCTAACGGTTCTTTAAAAGAAGATTTTTTAAGTTTTTACTATATGCATATAGGGAAAATCTATGACCCCCAGGGGCAGGGCCAATTTTGACCACAGGGCTATTATTTGAACAAACTTGGTAGACACTCATTAGAACATGTTTCATGCTAAATATCTTAGCTCTAGCTCTTTGGGTTCTTTAAAAGAAGATTTTTTAAGTTTTTACTTTATGCATAAAGGAAAAAATCAATGACCCCCCTCCCCGGGCAGGGCCAATTTTGACCCCAGGACTTTTATTTGAACAAACTTGGTAGACACTCACTAGAAGATGTTTCATGCCAAATATCTAAGCTCTAGCTCTTATGGTTTTTTAAAAGAAGATATTTAAAGTTTTTCTTTTGGTTGCCATGGCAACCAGAGTTCTGCATGGAATTAAATTCTTTGAACAATTTTTAAAGGTGACCACCAAAGGAACATTCCTGTGAAGTTTGGATGAAATTGGCTCAGTGGTTTATGAGGAGATGTCATTTTAAGCAAAAGTTTACGGACGGACGGACGACGGACGGACGCCGGACGAAAAGCGATCACAAAAGCTCACCCTGTCACTTTGTGACAGGTTAGCTAAAAAGCAGCATCCTTTTCACTACTTCAGAAAGAAAACAACAATATACCGGTAAGTTTAACAAATAATGAAAAGAAAAAAATCAACAAACTTTAACAGCTGTTTATGTACATGTATACAATAACATATCGCCTTCCCTGAAGTGTCTCTTTTCAAACTTTGTTATTGGCCACTAAACCAACAGTTTATAAAATCTCACCGCAGTAATGTACATTGTACATCCATTCATTTAGGTATGTAATATCTCAGTAAACTATCTATACATTCTCTACAATTTTAACTTCTCTCTTACTACGACTATTGCTACCACCACGGTGTTTCGGGGATTCAGACCTGTGCCTCCTTGTATGGTGAGATCTTTTGGATTTGTGACGATGACTGTGACCATTTTCTTCACGCCTGTCGTACAGAAACCGGGAACTAGTATCAGGGTAGGAATGCCTTGTTCTCTTACGTCTTCGGTGAGAATGATGACCACTATCACTGTCTGAGCTGTTAAAAATAAATAAAAATCGAGACACGTCATGACAAAACCAACATAATGGGTTTGCGACCAGCATGGATCCAGACCAGCCTGCGCAACCGTGCAGTCTGATCAGGATCCATACTGTTCACTATCTGTTTCTCTACTTGTTATATGGTTTGTAAGCCAACAGCATGGATCCTGATCAGACTGCACATTAATGTATGCATTTGTTAATTATAAAACTACGTGTGATTTGTAAGTTAATTCTTATTAAATGTGTCAAATGAATCGATAAACCACTGCAGGCCTAGACATTAACTTTTGAATCATGTTGTCCTGTCAGGCAAGTAGTTTTTAAAACTACTTGCCCTGACCTAAGACTTACTTGTCCTGACCTAAAAATGGTAAAAATGTATAAATCAGAAAAGACAAACAAACATAAATACTTCTTGTATTAGGTAATGTTAACTTAAGGCAATAAACTGGATATAATGTTTATGAAATTGATTGTTAGTTAGACACACATATTTTTTGTATTCAGTAGTTTTTCTAAAACATCAGTTCATCAATCATTATCTAGGCTATTATAACGATGAATTTATGTCAACAGTCGTAAATAAGTCGTTGTTGACTAAGTTCATAATGTTGTTATATTAGATAAAACAAATAAGTCATTTTAAATGCAAAAAATTTATTTAACAATTATTTTTAAAGATCAATAAGATCATTTACATATTTCCAATGATATCTTTTCATGCACGCATCAAAATTTAAACAACAGCATGACCCGGGAATTACCTTGTACAAAATTAAATATAGTCTATTTTTAAAACGGGGAAATACCTTTACCGCTGCGCATGCTCATATTTTTGCTTCCGTTTCCTATATCAACAAATGTACATGACCGTAGTACATTATTGATAATGATTCATGGTGTATTTTTGTTTTACAGATGTTTATAAATGGAAAGATGTTTTTTCTATTTATTTTGTACATGCATTTTGTCAATGATGCTATTTATTTTCACTTGCCCTGTCGGACAAGTGCTTTTTAAAATAACTTGCCCGGACCAAACTTTTAGTTGTCCTGGGCAGTCGGACAACCGTTAATGCCGAGCCCTGCACTGCATCAACATAGTTTTTAAGATCAACAGCATATTCATATTAGAATATTGTATCAAATAACTGTAAAAGAAATAAAATTACTTAAATCATATACAAAAGTCTACCATGTTTTAATTTTCAATCTGTTAGATAATCTTCGATAAACAGTTACAAAGTATATAAGTCTTCTGTTATTTTCAGAAAATAACTGCAAGTACAATATCATGTTATCTCACTGAACCTTTGCGCAGTGTAGCTAGTGTCCTTTCACATGGGTCCAGAAGTTTATAACAATAAAGCTTCAAAATTATTCTTATTTTTCTTATTATTATTTCTAGAATCTATCTTTTTCATTAAATCTATAAACACTAGGGACCTACTATCATGTATGTAAATATAACACAACTAACTAGAACTCCGCGAGTCGGATGTGTCGCCTTGTGAACAATATAGTTAAGGAGAAAAGGCCAGGACAAAAATGAAATAAGAAAACTAACAAAGGGCAATAGCTCAAAAAATAATAAGTGCAGAGCAGCAGTTTCTATGCACTGCACTTCTTATCAATAAGATCTATCATTCTATGAAGTTTCAAGTCCATATCTTTTATAATTTATGAGAAATGGCCTGGACAAAAGTAAAATATGAAAATATATAAAGGGTAATAACTCAAAAATAAGAAATGCAGAGTACCGGTTTTTGTACACTGCACTTTTTCTTAATGAGATCTATCATCCTATGAAGTTTCATGTCTATAGCTTTCATACTTGAGGAGAAATGACCTGGACAAAAATAAATTAAGAAAATTAACAAAGGGCAATAACTCAAAAAATAAGAAATGCAGAGTACCGGTTCTTGTGCACTGCACTTCTTCTTAATGAGAAATATCATCCTATGATGTTTCAATTCCATAGCTTTTATACTTTTGGAGAAATGGCCTGGACAAAAATAAAGTATGAAAATTAACAAAGGGCAATAACTCAAAAAATAAGAAATGCAGAGTACCTGTTCTTGTGCACTGCACTTCTTCTTAATGAGATCTATCATCCTATGAAGTTTCAAGTACATAGCTGTTATACATTAGGAGAAATGGCCCGGACAAAAAAAAAGTATGAAAATTAACAAAGGGAAATAACTCAAAAATCAGGAAGTGCAGAGTACCGATTCTTGTGCACTGCACTTCTTTTTAATGAGATCTATCATCCTATGAAGTTTCAAGTCCATAGCTGTTATACATTAGGAGAAATGGCCCGGACAAAATTAAAGTATGAAAATTTACAAAGGGCAATAACTCAAAAATTAAGAAGCGCAGATTACCGGTCCTTGTGCACTGCACTTCGTGTTATTGAAAGAGCATGCATACCAAGTTTGAAGTCAATCCGACTTAAAGTGACTGAGTTATGCTCTGGACAAGCTTTAGGGGATGCCGACGCCGCCGACAAAAGTAATCCCTATATGTCGCCTTTTCAAGGCGACACAAAAATGAATCCTGTCCATGAACAAAAAATTAACTTTTTCTGAGTGCTGGATAGCTAAATAAAAGCACCATAAAAATAAAATGAGGCATAATTTGGCAAAAGTGCTAAGCAGACTTGCCTGCCCTTGATTGTGAAGTATTATTTCAAGGAATTTACCCCTTAACAAAATGTTAAACCATGTAGTTCATTCAACAAGAGGGCCATGATGGCCCTGAGGTCGCTCACCTGTATATAGCCCCCCCCCACCCCGGGCCAATTTTTACCCAAGGGCTTTTATTTGTTTATTTGAACAGACTTATTTGTTTATTTGAACAGACTTGGTAGACACCCATAAGAAGATGTTTCATGCTAAACATCTAAGTTCTAGCTCATTGGGTTTTTTAAAATAAGATTTTTAAAGTTTTTACTATACATATATAGTTAAAAACAATGACACCCCTGGGGCAGGGCCAGTTTTGACCCCCGGGCTTTTATTTGAACAAACTTTGTAGACATTTACTTAAAGATGTTTCATGCTTAATATCTAAACTCTAGCTATTTGGGTTTTTTCAAAAAAGATTTTTAAGTTTTTGCTATACACATATAAGGAAAATCAATGACCCCCCCGGGCGGGGCCAGTTTTGACCCCAGGGCTTTTATTTGAACATACTTGGTAGACACCCATTAGAACATGTTTCATGCTAAATAAATATCTTAGCTCTAGCTCTTTGAGTTCTTTAAAAGAACTTTTTTAAGTTTTTACTATATGCATATAGGGAAAATCAATGACCCCCTGGGGCGGGGCCAATTTTGACCCCAGGGCTTTTATTTGAACAAAACTTGTAGACACTCATTAGAAGATGTTTCATGCTAAATATCTTAGCTCTAGCTCTTTGGGTTCTTTAAAAGAAGATTTTTAAGTTTTTACTATATGCATATAGGGAAAATCTATGACCCCCTGGGCCGGGTCAATTTTGACCCCAGGGCTTTTATTTGAACAAACTTGGTAGACATTCACTAGAAGATGTTTCATGCCAAATATCTAAGCTCTAGCTCTTATGGTTCTTTAAAAGAAGATTTTTAAGTTTTTACTATATGCATATAGGGAAAATCAATGACGCCCTGGGGTGGGGCAATTTTGACCACAGGGCTTTAATTTGAACAAACTGGTAGGCACTCACTAGAAGATGTTTCATGCTTAATATCTTAGCTCTAGCTCTTTGGGTTCTTTAAAAGAAGATTTTTAAGTTTTTACTATATGCATATAGGGAAAATCAATGACCCCCTGGGGCGGGGCCAATTTTGACCCCAGGGCTTTTATTTGAACAAACTTGGTAGACATTCACTAGAAGATGTATGTTTCATGCTTAATATCTAAGCTCTAGCTCTAACGGTTCTTTAAAAGAAGATTTTTTAAGTTTTTACTATATGCATATAGGGAAATCAATGACCCCCCGGGGCGGGGCAAATTTTGACCCAAGGGCTTTTATTTGAACAAACTTGGTAGACACTCACTAGAAGATGTTTCATGCCAAATATCTTAGCTCTAGCTCTTTGGGTTCTTTAAAAGAAGATTTTTTAAGTTTTTACTATATGCATATAGGGAAAATCAATGACCCCCTGGGGCGGGGCCAATTTTGACCCCAGGGCTTTTATTTGAACAAACTTGGTAGACACTCACTAGAAGATGTTTCATGCCAAATATCTAAGCTCTAGCTCTTAGGGTTGTTTAAAAGAAGATATTTAAAGATTTTTCTTTCGGTTGCCATGGCAACCAGAGTTCTGCATGGAATTAAATTCTTTGAACAATTTTTAAAGGTGACCACCAAAGGAACATTCCTGTGAAGTTTGGATGAAATTGGCTCAGTGGTTTATGAGGAGATGTCATTTAAAGCAAAAGTTTACGGACGGACGACGGACGGAAGACGGACGGACGCCGGACGAAAAGCGATTACAAAAGCTCACCCTGTCACTTTGTGACAGGTGAGCTAAAAACATGTATACTAAATCAACGTTCATTCCCTTTATAGTTTCTGAGAAAATGACCTTAATGTAAACTTAGGTTAACTAACACCAACGCCAACACTGAGTTGACTGACAAGCGGGCTATGAGTTGTGACAATACCTCCACTTTTTTCCTTAGAAAAGTGAAGCTAACAAACTTTTAACAAATTCATTACCGTTTATTAAGTTAATGGATTACTTAATGTTAATTTAAATCAGTTGAACATACCTGTGTGACTCTGAACTTGAATGTGCTGAGGACCGGTCTCGTGGTCGCTTCCTGGCATCATAGGCTGGTCTTACTCTAGAACTGGCCACTGGATCAAGTCTTGGAGCATCATCACATGTCCTTTAATGTAAATTATGGCATACTTTGTACAAGTTTGACATGGTTTTCAAATTAGATTCAGTCAGATAAACAGTTAGTACCTGTTTCATCATTTTCCTTATATACCTCCAGATGAATATTGTGAATTCACTTAATTTTGTGGGTATGAAATTTGGTGGTGTTGTCAATCGTTGGTTCTTAAATTCCTGGATTGTCTAGGTTTTTTTGTTTGTAAAAAAGAAAACGGAAAAAAAATAATATAGATAATCATACAGCAGAGAAATGAAGATTTGTTGGAACTTAAATTTGTGGATTGATCTATCAACATATACCAAGAAAATTATAACCCTCTAATAATAATGTTTTTTGCCATAATATATTTAAGTGTTAAGGAACCTGGTGGCTCAGTACATAGGTCTGAGGTCTCTGTGTTTTACAAGCTCCATTTTTTAACATCCTCACTTGCTGCCAAACATGGGAAAGTATATGTCTCATTTATTTGTACTTACCAGTAATTAATAGTCATTTTTACAGACTTAAAGCATATATTCTGTGAATATTTATAGG